TTATAATTAAGAATGGAAAAACGTAATCTTATATAATTTAATATTAAATAGATAGTCCTTTTTTTTATTTTATAGAAATATAAAGATTGACTCTAGTATAAGCATTAATATCCCCTATCACATATAATATATTATGCTATTATCCTTCAAAAAATATCTCGCTGCCTCCTCGAACAGGTGTGAACTGCCGATCGCTAAAAGTAGAAAAACAATAAACAAAAATTGCAATATCTTTATTTTAATTATTTTTTATTTTTATTTTTTTTTATTTTCACTATATATTTTTTAAAAAAAACAAATGAGAATGAAAAATGAAAAAGAAAAAAGAAAAAGAAAGGAAAGAAAAGAAAAAGAAAAAAAATTAATGAAATGAAAGTATCAAAGAAGCAAAAAACCTAAGAATGCAAGACTAAAGAAGCAAAGAACTAAAGAATCACTAACGAAAGTACCAATGAAAGTACCAACAAAAGTACTAACAAAAATCTCAAAGAACTACTAATAAAAGGGCCAATAAAAGGACCAAAAAACTATCAAAGAATCATCAACGAAAGAACTAAAGAACCACTAACGAAAGGATCAAAAAACCACTAAGGAACCACTAACGAAAGGATCAAAGTACCACTAAGAAACTACCAAAGAACGAAAAAAAGATATATTAAACAAAATAAAAAAGAAAATTAAAAAAAATAAAATATAAAAAATTAACAAATAGAGATTAAAAAGAGATTAAAAATTAAAAAAATATCTAAAAAAATATCGGGGGTGGAGAATTTAAAAAAAAATCAATAAAAAAAAATAATAAAAAAAATTAGCAAATGAGGAGGAATTTTAAAAAAATAAAAAAATAAAAATGCCAGTAGGGTATAAATAATAATATATAAAAATATAAAAATATCTATTATTATTTATTTTTTACATAGATATTAAGCAAAGTAATAAATTTATAAATTTGATATTTAAATTCATAAAATAACAAATATCATTACATTGCATCAATCTTATTTCAAGGCAACGACACCCAACTGGTTGTATGTTAATATTTACGCAATTCTAAAATATTTACATTAATGTTTTAATCGCTAATAAACATAACTTTGGAATTCCATTCACGAAAAATTTCCAATCATGCTTACAATGGGTCCACACATTTGGATAAGATGGTAAATTAATTAGACGTTCATCTTTTCAAATACCTTTCAAGATTACAAAAAATTATACAATCTCGACACATAATTTTTCCGGAGAGATAATATATCAGCGTCAATGAATTCATGTCTCTCATAATTTTTAGTTTCCTTTAAATAAGATTATAGGAGTTTGAATTTAAAACTACTAATTAAAAAGTTAAACCTTTTATACACTTAACCAGAAGTCTAAATCGAATATTAATCTACATTCTTGTAACAAGTATACCAATAAAAATATTTTAACCTTTCTAAAATAAATAGCCAATCATTTACACTGTTTGTTTTCATGCTTGATATTAAATGAACGGAACCTCGATACATAAGAATTGACGTTAATGATAATCAAATTGAAAATTGATAAATACAGCACTTGTATTACCTTGATCTTAAATATTGAATGAAATTTATTGACGCCCACATTTCAACACTTAAAACTTTTTGCTTTGAAAAGTACTGAAGTAATACCTTATGAAAGGCTCTTTCTTTTCGTTTAAGTATAAAATTATTTGTCGTGGAAATTATTCATTTGTTGGAATTAAAAAATCCTTTAATATTCTTATGATGCTAAAGTTCGCTCACATATAACTATTAGTATGTTACACCAGAAATATGAATTTAGAGAAATGAAAAAAAAAGATTGGTTTTGAAATGTTTCTTTACAGAGTACATTCTTTTTTCCAATGAGTTCTTGGAACCAGATATTGTTTGGAAATTTTCATTAAATGATTTTCTAAACTTGACGATCGAAAAATTTTAATTTCTTTCCAAAATTGTCACGAGATAGGCATCGAAGTAAAAACTATAATATTAACTTTAGGGTTATTATCGTCAAAATGTCCAAAAAATATTAATATGAAGCGTTTAAAATTATTGGTTTAAACAGATATTTAGCTAAATTTACAACCAGCTTCGATTAACAAGGACGTTAAGAATCATTTAAAAAATTTAGGAATTTTCAAAATAAACAAACTATCCCAATTGTTTGTATTTAATAAAAAAAAAGTTTATCTTTCCAACTACCTACAGTACATAAATATAGTCATTACATTTGAAATAGCGGACTGAATTTAAATTATTGAATTTATTGCAGTATTCTAAATACAATAATTTAATAATGCACTTTTGTAAATAATATAAATCTTGTAATTCTGAGATCGTATTATCAATTCAAAACAAAATTTACAAAATTTAAAGAATATTTGGATTTTTACTAGAAGTCTTAATTTGTTTTTCTAAATAATTTTTGGAAAGTAATATGAATTAAAACATATTTCTTATAATAATATAAACTAATAAAATTTTATTACTTACTATTAACTTGAATTTTAGTTTCGATTTCTTTAATCTTTCGTTTTTTAGAAGGTTTTGACGTTGAAATTGCATTCTGTTGTTGAGTGTTCGAAGAATCCTGGATTGTAGAATTTCCATTTATCGCTAACCTAAACGTTAATATTTAGAGTTAATTTACAATAATTCATATAAAGAAAAATTATTTTTCTAAAATATTAGAGTACCTTCGAGTAACGAAATCAAACTCAAATTCTTTTGAAATATATTCTAAAATTAAAAAATATAAATCATAAATCTTTGTTTTAACGAATCTATCAATTAAATCCTTCATAAAAGGTCAACTTTTTAATTAAAATTACCTTCATCTTTTGATTCCTCATCTAAAATAATTATTAAGGTTAATGAACAATGATACTGTATATAAAGATTAATCAAAATGAAACATACCTTGTGTAATACTTAATGAATTCAAAGATGAAGACCTAGAAATTAAAGAATTTAATATTCTACTTGTATAGATCGCTTTTGGATGTTTTTCTGTAAATTCATGACCGTGTATTTTTAATTTTTTTAATTCCTCTCGTTTTTGTTCAGCTTGATTAAATATATCATCATTTTTCTCCTATGAAACCAGCTACCAACAGTATTACGTGTATATTTTATAGAAGGTCTTTTTGAAGGATCAGAATCCCAACAACGTTTCATTAAATCAGCATAACATTCAGGAGTATAATCTGTAATCTCAGGTCGTTTTCCTTTAATAATATGATAAATAAGATTATGATCATGTTCGATATTAGAAAAGGGTTTACAACCTGTTGTAAGTTCCCACATAATCATGCCTATACTATATATATCAGATTTTTTTGAAAATGAAGCGCCATTAAATACTTCTGGCGCAATATAAGGAATTACTCCATATATTTCATCATTTGATGGAGTATTATTTGCAGGTTGAGATAATCCTAGATCTCCAATTTGCCATTGATAAGGTTTTATATTACTTTCAACAAATAATATGTTTCCACTATGAATGTCTCGATGTATGAGTTCCTTGTTATGAATAGTTTCGAGCCTAATTTCAAAATAAGTTAATAAAATAATAAAATATATAATGTAATAACAATAAATATTATGTATATATACCCATCTAAAATATTCCATAAAATTCCTAACTTTTTCTTCCATGATATATTTGCAAACTTATTTTGTAAATGATTATGTAAATCTCCGCCTGATGCATAATCCATCACCAACATATAATCATTTGTTTCAGGATCCTTTGTGATACCATAACATCTCATAACATGATTAACGTAACGATCAGTACAGCAACGATGATGCGAACTTAACTAAAAGAACATGATTTAGATTATTAAAACTATTTAATAAAATCATTTCAAATATAAAAACATTGAATAATTACCTCATTTAAGAAATACTTACTGATATCTTTTGAATTTAAAACCTTTTTATCGCAATTGTATGTTTTTTCTTTATCTCTTTTAAATTGATCATAATATTTAGGTATACCATCTAAATAATTTGCCTTATAAATTACACCAAAACCCCCTACTGCTATTTGTTCTAAATTTTGAATTTGAGAAAAAGGTATCCATTTAAATACAGAACGCGAAAGTATAGGATTTTCCTCAATAACTTTATATAATCTTGATGAATTAGAACGTTTCGCAATACTATTAACAATCTGTCTATTAAATTTTGTATCGTGAATAAAATTATCTATATTACTGTTATCACTGCCTATAAATGATGTTTCACTGCTTACAAGTGATGCATCAAGAGTAATTAGCGTTGTCCTTTTGCATTTTATACATTGAGATTTATCTGTAATTCCAAAAATAATATTTGTTGTTAAACAATATCTACATCCGTTATAAGTTATTTGACAAGGTTCACACCATTTAAGACAATCAGCTACATTTTTTAGATCTTTTATACAATTCATACAATTGATTTCTTGATCCCACCATGGTAAATACAGAATTGGAACGAGCTTTTTAGTCAAAATCGATTCTACCCATCCAGAAGATACTTTATAACACTTTGAACATGTCTTCAAATAACCATTATACTTCTGATTTCCACACAATTCACAAACCTTAAGGTTTGGGTTTGGGTTCCAAAGGTAACCGCTAGAATAAACTTGTTTGAATAAAATTTCAGAGCAAATTTCACACCATTCATGAAAGTTTTGGGTGTGAAAATCTATATCTCTATATTTATGTTTATCACATTGAAAATAACTTGCCATTATGAGTACATCCAAATACGTATTATTATCAGTTATATTACTGATATACTTTGCCAAGCAACATTTATAATATGCTTGACTAAAGTACCTTGTAGATGAGAAATATCTTCCACAATGACATTTATCCCTATTGTATTTAAAAGGAATAAACGTGATTGGTACAGTACTGGATTTTAATTTTGGAGTTGGGTCAAAATAATTTTTATTATTTGTAATCGTAAGTTCCATTTTGTTATAATGGAATATGAATTTTATTCACGACATTATATAGTTTATTTAATGTACGTAAACATTTAGGAAAATTATTCCGAATCTGGAATTCTTAGGAAGCGATGCATTTGGTTTTTCCAAGTTATAATTCTAGAATGATCTTAAATTGGCATTTCATTTTTAAAGAAATTCTTTTAAAGAATCAAGAATTCTATTGAAATTTATGCAGTGCAATGAATGACATAATTAACGCCACTCAATCGATACTAACATTATTGACGAAGATCGTCTAAAAATTTTGGGGAAATAAATAAACTAGAGATGCTAATGTAACCGTGACCGATTTTGACCGATCGGTTGACCGACTGATTTTGAGACTTTGGCTGAACAACCATTTAATTATATATAATGTAATGAAAATTGGTAAAAAAATATTAAAGTCCGCGTTAATTCTGCGCCATTATATATAATAACTTAAAGGAATAAATAAGTAAACCAAAACATAAAAAAATTATTTTGTATAAAGAAGTTTTAAAAAGTTGCATGCTAGTATTGTTTAAACAAGAATTGTATTTTGCTAAATAAAAACGTTCTAATAAACCAAAGCTGTTAAATTAGATTACTATCACCGGTCGGTCAAAGGCCTTTGAACCGATCGCTGACTGACCGTTACCTCCCTAGAATAAACCCACCCAAATGATGAAAAACTTTATTAAAGCTTATGAAAATTGGTAGAAGACAAAAATCTACGAAATCGACATTAACTTTTAGCGATATAATATTTCTTTATTCATTTTAACCAATCAAATAACCATAAGGTTTTGCAACAAAAATAGCACAATCTAATTATAGCTAATTTTGGTAATAATTTAAACAATATTTAGATTAAGTCAATTTTCTAAAGCGACTGTTTAAATTATAGTTTCTTTTTCTTGTTGGCAAAATTGAAACACGTGATTACCATTTCTCATTTACGAATTTTTTTTTTTGAATATTTGAACTAGGTCTAAGACTTTAACTGACTTCGCTTTGACAAAACGGACCACATGACTTATTTCTTAATTATAATTTATTATATATATAAATATAAACAACTATTAAAAGGAATAAAAATAAACCTCGCTAATTTAAATGTACAATTTCTCAATTTACATACATAAAATGAAATATCAGTTGAAAAATGTACAATTTAGATTTTTAAAATTGTAGTTATCATTATATTTCTGTATTACGTTTGGTATCTTGAGTTTTGAAGAACCGGTTTTTTGCACTTTCCTTTCACATTATGTTCTTTAACACGCGAAGAATTTTAGCCCATATACAAGTAGAAGCTTTACATTTATATTTTTTTTCCATTAGTATCAGAATTAATATCCTTTTGAAAGGCCGGTGGAAAACAAAACATATCGTTTCTATGAGGTCAAAATCGTCGCCTGCATGATCATTGTTTGATATTTGGAGCTAGTCGTTATATATTCAAATCAAATCAGAATTAATAAATCTTAATTTCGGTTAACAGTATATATTAGCTTTTGTATTTAAATATTAAAAAATTATTAATTTCAAAATGTGAAAAAAATTTTTTTTTTCAAAAATATTAATTACATTAATGATTTATTTGTTTCATCTTTTTTTTTTTTACAAAAACCTAACGACGTAAATATTATAGATTTAAAGAAAAATTGACAAAAAAAAAATTTTTTGTTTTTTACGATTGAAAAATCAACCGATCTCAATTAAATAATTTTTTTTTTCACTAATCACCATTATTCAATTATTAGGTATAATTAAAAATAAAATAAAAATATCTATATTAATCTATGTACGAGGTTAAAAAATTCCCTATTTTTTTTTTTTTTAAAATTTTACAAATCTTTTACGTTTAGGAACAGCTTTAGGTTCATTGGGGACAGGTTCTTTGGCAGGTTCTGGTTGAACACAAGTACCTCCGTTGGAATATGCTGCTTGACAACCTTCACCACAAAAATTGGGACCATTGCCACAAAATCCATTAACACCACAACATGGAGTAGCGAGAGAATTACAATTATGACCGCCCATATTTGGACATCCATTATTAGTAAGAGGAATTTCACCGACACCTTGAATAGTGACTGTTTGTGTTTGCAAAGGAAAATAATTTTATTTAATGTTAGATTTATAAATTACAAAATTTAAAAAAAAAAAAATTTTTTTTTTTTTTTTTTTGTTACTCACAGAATGGGGTGTACCCATAATTCGCAGGATCTTTTCCAACAGTAATGGCATAATCAATTCCGGTCGCCATTGTCGGTGGCACAAGGAAAGGGCAACTTAGTGCTAAAAAAAATTAAAAAAAGTAAAAGTAATCATTCGATTAGTTTTCACTCTCGTTAATTTTCGTTCCCTTTTAGTAAACATCCCGTTACGATCACATACCAGCAGGGTCGATACTTTTGCATATTTTCATTTGTTCTTTTAAATTTTCCGGTGGACCCTTGACTAAACGTACATCAACCGCTGGCTCAGTTGGAGTATCTTGATTTAAGATCCAAGTGACATTATAAGGGGTATTGGCATCCAACACATCGCCCGATGATGGGAATGTAACAGTATATCCAGCATTAGCGCGTGAGGTACATAATACGGCCAAAAGGAATAAACCTAACAATGACTTTGCCATATTTGAAACGTTTTATAGATCGAATTAAATGAAAAGAAAAAAAAAAAATGATAATTTTTCAAGAAATGAAAATTACTTTTTTTTTTTGAAAGAAAAAGGAATATAACACGGGCTTTATATATAAAAGATTTTTTTTAGTCGTCTGGATTTGTCCCGATTCAAGAAACAAGTTTGCGGTTCGTTAAACCTCCTTAAAAAAAAAGATCAACAAATTACAT